CCGCCCGGGGCGCGCGGAGCAGCCAGCTCCACCGACGGGAAACCATTAAAGCGTGAGTCACTGCTCCAGCCTGAACTGGTTATGGCCGAGCTGACTCAGCAAAAGGGGAAAAACACAAGGGGAAAGCCGCTGTGGGAAGAGGGGTCTGACTCAGGCCAGATGCTGCAAGGGGGCTCGTCGAGGGGTGGGGGGACACGAGCGAGGTAAGGGGGTGGTGGGTGATGAGGGAAATGGAGCAAGGGCAATGGAGAGGAGACCAGTTCTGCCTCGCTTACAACACGCTATCGGCTGATGGAAGCACAGATGGACAGTTCGCTGAAGATCAGCGAGTTTGTGCAGGGTGTTATTCCGACTTGATCACAAAGAGCTGCCGGTCTGATTTCTTTTGGCTTAGGGATTGAGCAGAATTTCTGCGGATGCAGGAAAGACGTGTCCCCAGAACACATGCCGGCTGGCTCAGCCGCCTGCGTGAGGGCACGCAGTGTCTGGAAAGCATGTGCTAGTGGCACGGGTCTCCTGGCACTAGTTTGCAGAAGTAGAGCTGCAGCAGGAGTTATGCAGGTGGCCGTGCTGCAGAGGAGGCACCTCTGGCTCTGCTGCAGGTAGAGGAGGAGAGCATGGACACGCGGGTGTTACGGCAGCGGCGCGATCGTCTCTACGTCAGCTCACCTTCCGTACCAATGGAAGACAAGCTGGCTAAACTCTGCAAACTTACCTTTTCCCCCTTTGGCCCTGGTGGTCCGATTGGCCCTGGTGGTCCTGCGTGTCCCTGTGGAGAGCAGACAGCAGGTGAGGAGGCAGGGAAGAGCTGTCTGACTGAAAGTCCTCCCTGGTTTCCTGCCAGATCGATCTCACGAGCCCTGCGTTGTGCATCCCAGCTTCAGAGGGACACACAGGTCATGGCAGAGATGACTGTGTGCAGGAAAACGCATCTGCAGAAGTTGTCACAGTGCGAGCAGAGACTAGAGGAAGAACTAAACTGAACTCAAGATCAGAAATCAATCCTAGTTTAAGAATGATTTTGCATCCTGGAGTGGCAGTTTTGTTGCACTGGAGAACAGACAGAAGCTGGAGGATGAAAATAAAAACCTTACCTGGTAACCCTTTAAGCCAGGTTCTCCTTGAGCACCCATCCTTCCTGGAGCACCCTGGAGAGGCAAGCACAGAAAGCACCATGAGAGTAGCCCGTGGGTATTACCCCACAAGAAGAGGATGCACAGGGCTATGTGAAGTAAAGCTCAGCACCACATAGGTGTGTGGCCACCCTTTCTCCTGGCCACTGGTGAGCTTTGCTGCAGCCATCTGAAATGCTCTTGCTTGGCTTTAATCTCTTACACACGAGCAGTGATGCCAGGAGTCCAGTCTGTGTCTTTTACACCTTGTAGCAATGGGTTCCCCACCTCATTCAGCGTTGCTACCAGCAATGGCTGCACAGTGTGTGCTCTGCATCTGCCCTTCTTGACGTCTTTATATCCAAATTAGCTTTGTGGTAGGAAGTCCAGCAGCGAGACCACTCTCATGCACGACCTAATCCTAAACTGTTGGGAGGAAACCTTTCGGCATGGGTTCTGAGGCCAAGAACCCATGCCAGTTTCCTGGGCTGTGATAAGGGCACTGCAAGAGCTGTTTATTTCACCTTTAGCAGACTGAACAAAAGGGTTTAAAATCAGACCATCAGATTAAAGTGAACTGGAAACTTTCCACATAATCCCATTTAGCGTGGAGGAAAGCCCTTTCCACAAGACTGCTGCTCAGATACTGCTTTGCTTCCTTGTGAAATAATCCACGGAGGCATTGCCAAAGAATATGAAGGGAGGATATATGGGGAGGCCATAATTTTTAGTGCAGGAAAACACTATCAGCAGAACCGTTACTCCATCACTCATTTGCTACTGTTCTGAAACATCACTGTGATTCCTGGTTCATAAACAAGTCCTGCTTTTTTGCTAAGTTCTACCAAATATAGCGCAAGAGGTTTCCTTATGAGCCTGCAGTGCATGAGGAGGTACTTATTATTTACTGCTGCTGTCCCAATGCATGCCTCATGTGCCTAAAGTGAATTAACTTTCTTCACTCTCAGCCATACTATTGTTGTTCTCTCTGAAAGCTTCGTCTTCAGTCCCCAACTCAAACCCTTTCCCATGCTATACTTCTTCTTGCTGCAAGTGTTTTAGATAAGCAGATCAAGAGTGGGTGTAGAAACAGGGCAGAAGTCCAAGGCAGAGTTCCTTATTACAACACAGCTTGTCTTGGAAGCAGCTCTTGCCATGAGTGTGCAGTCTCAAAGGGAAAGATCTTAGCAAAAAATAGCTTATCAGCTCACTCCCTTCTCAAGAAAAATCCCCAATATTTCGGCTCATCTGGGGAGCTGTGAAGAACCGCCGTGATGCAACGTGAGCTGGGTTCTCAGGCCACCAACACAACCACCACTATAGAGTCTCTCCTGTGTTGCTTAGAGCAAGTGTTAAGCTGTTTTGGTCAACTAAACCCATTGTTTCACTTTCTGTGCTCTGAAGTCTCTGATGGGCTCTCTGCTTCCTTCAGCCCTGTGCCCACCACTGCTATTCGCGTTTCTGCGTGTTGTGTTCAACCATTTGCAGAGCTCTTCTCACCATAGGTCCCAGGGTACCTCGGGATCCTTTAGGGCCTTGGTTCCCCTTCGGCCCCTCCTTCCCTGGAGATCCCATCTCGCCGAGCTGCCCCTGGTAGCCCTTGCTGCCCTGCAGAACAAAAGCACTGACATTAATGTAGGACAAAACTGTTTCTACAGGTGAATATCAAAGATGAACAAAGAAAGGGAGATCCAGAGGAGGAGACATTATCAACAGGAGAAGTTCCTACCTTCTGGCCAGGCTTGCCCTTTTCCCCCTGTTTTCCTGGTTTCCCTTCTGGTCCCTAGGAGAACAAAAAAAGCTGTTGGAATGGGGAAGCAAAGAAGTCCCATCCTAACCAACCACCTCCAGGCCACTTCCCTGCTACACTCAACCCTGACAGCATCCTTACCCACCCTATCCTATTCCCATGGACGTGAACAAGCTGGCTAGGAAGCCATGCAGGTAAGGCCACGATTCACAGGTACTACAGCTGGAGTATGGCTGAGTTTGTTCTTCAGCTGCTCCAACATGTGGAGGAGAAGGAAACCTCATTGCTTAAAGGTGGAAAGATCTCTGTGCCCAGGTGACTATAGGGCAACACAGTTGAAAGGTGATATTTTTCATCTTTAGATCACATGTCAACGACAAGTGGGAGATGGAGAACTGTTGTCTGATGTGCCCGTCTGTCCTCAGGGATGCAAAAGAGGGATCTCCAAAGTGCTCCTTGAATTCAGCACCCACTGAACTGAAGAATGGTACCTACCCAGCCACTGCTACAGAAAGGGCTGAAATGTGGAAAGGACATTTACCCTGGCCCCCCAAAACGTTTCCTCTGGTCTGCAGACAGAACTGCCACCTGTGCACGGCAGCTTTGCAAGCAGAGTCATATCTATCACCATCAGCTATGGCACTGAGTTGATATAAATACTTTTTATGGGGTTTTAGGATTCTGGAAGCAGAACCATTGCCTCAACAGCAATTCTCCCTATTTTTACCTTGTAAAAACAGGCAATGTTTTAATTTTCTATCCACCTGCCATGCACAGCTCTCTGCTCACAGCACAAAACCCTCCCCCTCTATTGGTATCATTATTCTTGCAACACGCAGCACACAGAAATCACAATATACTCATCAGGCACCTAGAAATGGAGCAGAAAGCAAAACTTCAGGTGGGAGCCACAGCAACGAGAGACAGAACCGCTGGGCTGCTTTGTGCACCGAGCGCGGGTGTCTCACGCGCAGCAGGACCTGCCGCCCCTCCTTGCAGGCACGCAGCAAAAATTAGCTGTGATGAGCAACTAAGTATAGCCCATTCTCCTTAGGGAGCCCAGGGAGTTCATTTTTTTCAGTGTTTGACCCCGTTGGCTGCAAGGCAGACAACATATTTTGGATTTGACAGAAAGAAGCCGAAGCATCACTGAAGAAAATAACTCATGCTTTTTGGCAATTGCGACAAACTTTTCAACAGCTCTACGCACCAGCCCAGCATCTCTCCCTCTGCTCTCCTGCCTCCCACTGAAGAAGGTATCATTTTCACCACTGTTGATGCTGCAGGAAAGTATCAGTCTCAGCTGAACAAAAGCAGCTTCCAAAGGTAGCCGTATCGGAGGATTTTCACTCTGATCTGAGACATGGGCCTCGAAAGTGCCTGCTCTTAACACAAAGGAGCAATTCAGACTTACTGGAGCCCTAAAGAATTGTGCCAGTTCTTCACTGCCCCAAAGGGAACAGCTCCATTTCACCCAAGTCAAACATTTCAAGAGCCCGCCTTGCCAACGCTGTTGGAGCTTCACAAAGGACAGGTCTCTGCCGAGGAGCACAGTCCCGTTCTGTTGTTTGTTCCATACCCCGCAGGGGTTTGGTTTGCTGTTTTTCTTCTGCTTTCCAAAAGACCACTCTTGGAATTATTTTCCCACAGACACTGAGCAGCCGCGATAGGAGATATTTGCAGGTGCCAAGCCTCCATGGTCACCCACCTGACTTACACTTTTGACAGGAGAAATCCTCACGATGGAAAGCACCAGCCTGGGGAATGGCCATCCCCACCCGGCTCTGCAGGTAGCTCACCACTGGACCTGGGACCAGGTCCCTCAACTTCCCCACGCATCGGTAGCGATGTGTGTGGCGAAGCGGCGATACGCTCGCAGACCCTGTTCTGCAGTAAGACCGTGACGCTTAGTGGCTTGAAAATTTGGAGAGTGAACAGTGGAATTGCTCACAAAAGTTCACTGTCAAAACAATACATGAATGAATAAAGCCACAACTGAGATTTCTAACTAGTTGCATAGCGTTTTTCCATCAGTCTCCCTGGACTGTGCACTAAGATCTTTTGGAAACATGGGCAATAGATATTTCTTGCAAATAGGAGAAAGCCTGTTTTAAGCTAAATCTGTTCCCAGCCCCGGTGATGGCCAAGCTCTTGATCTTCTCCAGCAGGGTCACTTTGCACACTCAGGTGAGCTCCTGAATTGCTGTGCTGTAACAGCCCTTGAAATTAGCACTTCCGTGTCACTGTTCCATCCCTGGGATGAGGACGTGCTGCACTGTCTGTAAAATATGTAGACATCAGCACATTGATGTACCCTTTTATCATTGTGCAGGGCAGAAGAACTATGTTCACAGAGGAGGTCATGGGCATCTCACTACTTCAGAAGAATTTGAAGTACAGCCTGGTTCCCTGCACCCAGATACATCTTCGATGGATGCAATGACTGAAAATTGCTTCTACCCTACGCTGGGAAACGCCTTTGCTTTTTGAGAAGGCAGATTCAGGCCTTAACTCTTCCCTTCTGAGAAGCAAAATTTCCACGCTGCTGCTAAAATCTGCCAGCATTCAGCTTCTTGCTTGTACCTACAATCCTGAAGTACAGATATAGGGTTAGAGTCATCTGGGAGAGGGAAAAAAAAAACCAAACCCCCAATGTTGATGGCCCAAGCCCTACTCATAAAAATAAACTTGATCCACAGAAGACTGTGCCATGTTCAAACAGGGTCTCAGCTTTCTCTGGGTTCCTTCATCTTGTCTTTCCCTGTTGGAGTCCAAACACAGATAAAGGCTCCGATAAACTGCCTGTACCAGCCCTTCCCCTTATGACACATTGGCCTCATTCAATGGGGATGTTCATCTACTCCAGAAGGCTCTCCTGGATCCTTCAGCTGGGGTGCGGCTCCTTCTTCATTTCTGGAGAAAAAACATTTGGCAGCATCTCCAACTCTTGTCAGTGATAGTGAGACCAGCTGTCACTCACAGTAAACCACGGAGATTCTTCCTTTGAGCCTCCCTCACTGTCGTTAGCTCTCATCTGCCGGTTAAAAGCTTTGCTGGTAGAAATAAATGGGTCAAACTGTGCTGGCGACACCATCAGCAGAGACGTGGCTTGGATCTCGCAGCCCGAGCCATCTCCTTGATCGGAGTAAGCTCTATCGGCAAAGGACATGTCTGTGCTCTACCAGCGCGCTTTCTAGGACTTTGGCCAGCAGAGCTCTGCTGGTGAGCGGGAAGCCTACCATATGTCCGATTTTCCTGGATGTGCTTTCTCCAACAGTGCAGGAATTTTGCCCAGATGAATTTAGAGGCAGTTCAACACTTGTCTGGGGTTCCCAGATATGCGATATCTCCCCTTGTGATGTTCCAGATGTGGTTGCTGTTGCAATCCCAGACGTTCACTGGGTACATATGCAGCGGTTTGCACAGTTCCCAGAAATCACTGCACTTTCGCATGCCACAGATTACACAGGCAATAACAAGCCCAGCAATAACTTTGGTAGCCTTCAAAAAAGGTCAGATTCTTTTTCTCTCCATTCTTCTGACTCATCTGTCCAGGGATGGAAAAATCAGGGCCAGAACATAGGTGGGGGGGGGGGGAAAAAGGAAAAAAATGAAATTCAGCGAGGTTGTAACTTCATCCAGGGTCTCCAAAGTACGTCAGGAATCTGGCATCTTTTGGTACCTCTTTCACTGCAATGTGAATTTCCTAGGGTCCCTACTTGCTTTAGCAGAGGCAGCAATGAAGGGCAGAAAATGTACAAAAGCCTATACATAAGAATAATTGATTCCAAGTTCTTTTTGCTGGATTCAAAACAGTTGGGTTAGTGTGCCAAGGGACTAAACACTTGATTCTTTTATTCTCAGGGTTTGTACACATTTTGTTGTATGCTTTGGGTTACCAGTTTGCTGAGAAAACAAATATTCTTTCCAAGCTTCTTCCATGAGAGGGGTTATTTTTAAATGGTGATTTCTCTTTATATGCTGCGCTCTTCACTAAGCATATCAGTAACTCCAGAAGATGAAGGTATTTGTGACCAGGGATAATGGAAAGCAGTGGTTTTACACAGTCACATGTCTTCAGGTATGCCAAAATATCCAAGGAAAGCAAAAAATGATTATCTTAGGTCTAGCATATTTAAAATTTCATTGCCAGCTTCAGTAAGAACCCAATTTGATCATTTTTTTTAGTATGGCTGAAGATATTCCCCTAAGGAAAAAAGCTGAGCAGTTTATTTTCCAATGCAAATTGATTAGTTTGTAAGGAAAAAAAGAGGCTTTCAGCTGCTGATGGCCTTGGCAGCAAAGTCAGGTCTCTTGACGGGCACAGCAGTAACATTTATTGGGAGCAACGAGATGAGCAGCCCAGCTTTCAACTTTCAAGACATCCAGAAAAGCGAAATAAGGAAGTTGAATGAACTGCAGAGATATGCCCCAAATGGAGTCAAACAACAAACAGTGTTAAAATCCAGACCCAAACTTCCACTACATTCAGTGATGCTCTGCTACATGCACTAGATCCGGGGAAGCGGTTACCGAGATGTGATCCACAGTCCTGGTTTGACTCCAGGGGAACCGTGGCTTGTGGCATTTCAGAGGACAGATGTGTTTCTGCTTTGCTTGCAGACTTACAGCACGGCACAGGAGGGAAGTTCTACAAGGGCACGGTACTGATGAGATGGCTTCCCAAAGCCTATCCCAGGCAGGTTCAGGATTACTCAGGACTGTTGTGGAGCAGGAGTGTATTTTCCAATTTTTTTGGGTGTCGTTGAGTGAAGGTCTGAGGTCACTTCTCCCTACCAAAAACGAGGCAGGAAGAAATAGAAGAACCGGAATGCAGCTACTGAGTAATGAAAAGTTCCAATGGTGACAGGAGGAAAAAAAAAAAAAAGGTGATAGTTTGAGGCACTGGATGTAGGATGTAGAAAGGGCAGAAAAGCTAAAGCAGCAACAAAGGTAGGAAGCAAGAAACATAGGATGACCGTGCCCATATTGTTCAGGGCCTGGCCAGAGAGCTCATTTAAAGGGAAATGAAA